CACACACACACACACACACACACACACACACACACACACACACACACACACACACACACACTCACACACACTCACGGCGACCTCATTCGCCATCGGAGTGGCTTCCCTCGAATTCAGATGACCGTTCACTGCAGTTATCTGAATCGGGGTCATCCTCCACAACCTCCACGCGAGTCTTGCACTGGCTGGGTTCAGCGGTCTTCGGCTTGCGGGGCCTGCCACGAGCACGCTTAGGCTTCGCAGCAGCATCCTCCACCGGTTCCTTCCTCTTCCTCCCCACCCTGCTCACCCACAGGTTGTCATGTTGGACAGCCTCGTTGCTGTGAGGGAAGTCGGGTGAGTTCTCGACAGACTGTGCGGACAAAACCGGTCGTTGCCTGCGCGTGTACATAGTCTTCACTGCAGGCTGGTGCTCCTCTTCGCCGTCCTCATCATCCATGTTGTGTTGCAGGTCCTGTCGATCCATGCCCTCCGCGTCTTCTTGCTGTTCCATGGCCTCCTCCACTCCTTGACTCTCCATCCCCTCCTCGTCCTCTTCTCCGTGCGCCATCTCCGCCTCTTGTCCGTGGTCCATGTCGTCCTTGTCTTCTTGCTGGTCCTTCTCCTCCACCTCTTTGCGGTGCTCCGCCTCTTGCTGGTCCGCCTCTTGCTGGTCCGCCTCTTTGCGGTGGTCCGCCTCTTGCTGGTCCGCCACCTTCAAAACCGGTCCACTTTGCTATTCCTCTTCCTCTTCTCGCTCTTGCACAACGTCCAATGGCCGACGTGTCTCCGGTTCCTCCTCCCCAACCTTCTTCTTGCGTCTCTCAATCTCCCTCCGGGTTGGGATTGCTGCGCGTCGGGCATCCTCTTCCATGATCCGTTTTTGGACGGCATCTCTATTGCGATCTGCTAATGCCTTTGCACGCTCGGCCTCCGCCTCATCTTCATCAACCGGACCACTTTGCAGCAGCAACTCGACGTCCTTGTCCATGTGATGGAACTCAACGTCAGACTGAGGATGGTATCAGGAGGAGCTTTCCCCCCGGGCCTGTGTAGAGACTGCGGGTTGTGACTCCCTCCGACGCCCTGCAGGTTCTCTCCTACCAACATAAGTAGTGCCCGGGACCGATGGCTGGGCTCCCAGCTCAAAATCGGAATCACTTTCATCCTCCTCCTCCTCCGCGCCGCTCGTCTCATCCGACAATCCACCCCTCCCCTTCCACAACTCATCATCCAAATCACTGTCGTCGGTGCACTCGTCCTCTTCGTCCTCGAGCTTCTTTGGAATCCTTCCCTTCGGTGTCTTCACGAAGCTACTTTGCCGCACCAGCTCCTCATCCGTCTTCTCAGTTTCTTCCTCGGGGGCCCTCAAGATAGATCCATCGTTCTCGTCTGGCTCTAGAATAGCCTCAAAGAACGAACTCCACAGATCGACGTAGCCCTCGCCATTGGCACCGTTGTTATTGGCAGCACACAGTAGTTATATGTTCCAATGGATGTACACCAGCTTCTCCAATGTATCGGGCTTCAAGTTGTTCCTCCTTTTCGAATGCACGAAGTCCATGGACGCCCAATTCCTCTCAGTCGGGGTTGTTGTACTCCACATGCCCATCACTTTGATGGCAATGGCCTGCAAGTCGGGGACATCGCCACCATAAGTCGCCCACCACTCTGACGGTGTGAGCTTCTTGCAATCGACCTTCGCATCGGGCTCCCACATCTTCTTGTCCTTTCTCTTGGGCCCCTTCGGCGTGGGTTCCTTGTGAAACTCGTGCAGGTCACCCAAAACCTCAAGGTGGTCTGGCCCTTTCCAATCACCTCCAACCTGTCTCTGCAGGTAACGCATCGCGTTCTGCACAATTGCATTGTCCCGATCATAGAGCCACCGTGGATTTCTCCTGCGCGGGTCCAGAAGAAACGCCAGTGCATGTACTGGTTGCCGCATCATCTTCACCAGATCTCTGGCTTTCTCCATGACGCTCGCCCGCTGCTCGTCAGTGAGAACCACGTGAGTCAGTTTCCTTTCAATCAGGTCGTCGTATTCGACAAGGTTTGTCGGCGATGTTCCATCTCGATCCATCCTCCTGAGAAGGCTGTACAACGGTTCCATCACATCGACCACCTTCTTCAACTCCATCCACCAACCGTCTCTCCTCATGGTGAAGTAAACTAGGTCCGCTTTCGACTTCAACTTTGCAGTGGACCAACGGATCCCTGTCCACCGTGCTGCATTTTTTCGATCCACCATATCCGACAACACTGCCTTCCTGTTCAGAAGCCTCTCCAACATCATGTACACTGACCCGAACCGAACTTCCATGGGACGAAGCAATGTCAGGGAATCGTTCATGGACATCATCAGGCTGTTCGTGGAGTGGTGGTTCCGGATGAACTTAACAATCGTGTGGCCTCTCTTGACAGTGCGCTTCACCCAGTCTAGCTTGCTGATGTCTTGCAGCAAAAGGCTGCAACAATGCGCAGCGCAAGGAACCCATGGAATCCTTGCAATGTCTTTGTCAGTGCGGCGCTCTAGAATCTGAGCAGCCTTCTTGTTCACCTCGGCATTGTCGGCGCAGATTGCGTTGATGCGATGCACCCCTATCTCCCTCATGATCTGCTCCCACAACTTTGCCAACGCCTGCGTTGTTTTCTTCTTTGCCGTCATCGACACTGTGGCCACCAGAACTGCACCCTTCTCCCCCGCTGCCAAGAAGTTCATGACAGGGCGCTCTCGACGGTCGGATGACCCATCCGTGATGAATGTACAGCCAGATTCATCCCAACACGGTGTCAGAGGATGCACTTGCTTTTGAATTCGCAAGTAGATGAAGTCAAGCATCACCGTCCTCATATGCTTGTACGAGGGCAGCTTAACCTTCGGTCGCGCATTCGCCACTTCCAAGTAAACTTCGTGGAGCTTCTGCGTCGTGTCAAAGTTCAGGAAGTTAAATACAATGTCAGCACGGAACATCGCCTCCGCCCACGCAATATCCAGCTTCTTCTGTGCATCATTGTCCACCCATTTCTTGATTGATGTCTGCTGCAATGATGCCACCCTCGTGTTTGACCCTGAACCTTCCGCAAGCCCCTCGTCTGTAGCGGCGACCGACTCTGTTCGGGAAGCTGTTTTCGGTGGTGCCATCCCCGCAGTGGTTGGCGGTTGCGGCTCCTCGTACCCGGAAATGAGCGGCTCCACGTCCTGAGTCTCCGTCGCAGTCGCCCCCCCTTCCGCAATGTCGTGCAACTGCCTATAGTTCTTCAGGAGGTACTGCGTCTTTTTGTCGCTGGGCAGCACCTTCGCACCGGCGACCACGAGCTTGTGCACCATCACACCTGTCCTCAAGGGACACGGCTTCAACAACTTCAAAAAGTGTTGCACTGCCCTTGTGCTCGTGCCCCTCCAAATCTGCGTGCATAGCCGACACTTCAACCAATACTCACCTCGACCCTTCGGCAGGGCTTCTTGACCCTGTATAACGTATTTCCACACGTCCCGGGTGCGCTGTAGTTGTTGTTGCCTTGTGTCATCCTGAGGAACGAATAGAGAGGGGTCTGACGCCGGCGTGGGATCCTTTGCAGTCACCCCAGATGCGGAAGCATTGGCACTGGCACTGGCTTTTCCTTTGTCCGTCGATGCTGAAGGAGGTCTCCTCCTTCCGGATGCGCCACAGCCACCGCCTGCTGCAACGCCACTGCCGCTGCCCCCCGCCATTGAACAGCAACGTGTGGAAGCACTCGCCAACAAACACCGAACGCACCCCCCTCTGGCCCCCCTTTCAACCTTTTCAAAAAAAAAAACCAAAAAAAAACAAGGTGGTATATGGTGGATGTCTGTGGGATATGTGACGAAGAAGAAGAAGAAGACGAAGAAGAAGAAGAAGAAGAAGAAGAAGAAGAAGAAGAAGAAGAAGAAGAAGGTGGGACTAAGAAGGAGAAGAAGATGATGATGATGATGATGATGATTGGCGGTGGAGGATGGCAGGCAGGGGATGAGAAAGAACGGCGAGAAGAAGAAGAAGAAGAAGATGAGTATGTTAGGTGGGCGAGAAGAAGGGGACAGTGTAGACCGACAAAAAAAAAAAAAAAAAAAAG